TGAAGCCAAACTCCTTGCCCTTTCCATCCCCTGCACGCAGAGCCGTGTGAAGCTCAATAAACATGCCCTGCTGGGCTTGCCCAGCACAACCGCTCTCTGAAGCCCTGCAAAAGTCCTAGTATCTTCTAGTGAATAGAGACTATAATCGGCACAATGCTCCTAATAAAGGCTATTCCTCACAGTATTTGCCTTGAATTCTTATTTTGGGGTTTTCTTGTAATCTTCCTTAAATTCCCTGTGGCTAGCTTTCTTGCTAAACATGTGATCCTGTTTTGGGGAGAAGCAAAATAAGTTTGAGATAATAAAAAGCCAAAGCATTCTGCTCACAGGCTGCAAGCAGAGAGGTGGCTTTGAATTTGCCTGAATGCTCCTGTGGCACAGGAAAATATTGGCTGTTTAGGAGTCTCAGGAAAGAGACTTATTCCTGTGATAAGATCACTTTTAAAGGACAGAATTTTATCTGGGCATTACGGTGACTTGAGAGTGTAGATATGTCAGGGACTTGTTTCTTTTAATAGCCGTGCATTACTGGTGGGGAAATTCTCTGCTGCTTTCTCCAGCAAAACACAAGCAGGTCTGCCAGCTGACTCAGACCCCTGCTCTCATCTCCGTTTTCTTTCCTTTTCCCTTATAAAAGAGTTTGGCGTCTCCTTTTGCCGTTTCCAACGTAGCCTGGTTTTAGGTCTCCCAGGTAGAAAGTGGAGGCTTGCTGTTAAACTGTGCTGAAAAGTTTGAGAGCGGGCAGCGATAAAGGTAGTGTCTGAAGGAGGAGATTGTCTGGACGCAAATACCAGTGACCAAAGGGTCTCCACTTCAAAACAGGGTGGGTTTTTTGCAGCAATGTTTTTTGGGTGGCTGGCAGTCATTCTCCCTTGCACTGTCTGTTCAAGTTTTGGTGTGCAGGTCCGGGTGCGTCTGCCTGTTCCTCTGCTTACAGCTGGAGATGAGAGCATCGCATCTGCGCGGTATTTAAGTTGGTATTGCGTTTCAGGTTTGGGGGTAGATGAATGTGGCTGCTTTAGTCAGAGGGTTCTCCCTCTTCGGGCATTTGCTTATCTGTAGGAAACTCAAAAGTCATTACAAAACCTTTCCACCCACTCGGCACCCAAGGAGTTGCACAGCAGAGGGAACTGCCCGGCTGGCTGCAGGCTGCTCGCTCGGCTGTGTCATGGCTGATGCCGTAAAATCTGCTGATCTCACGATGAAGTAACTTTTGCACACGAGGCCGACAAATTAATATGACCTTGTGGTGCAGCTGGAAGAGCCTTTGTACGCTCAGTAAAGAAGGGAATGAAACACTGTACCATGTTAAAACTTCCCCTGCCTCCTTTAAGTGTCTTGAGTGCTGATGCTCGCAGTGTTTCCCAGCTCAGATCTCGGGCGCTATGGGAAATTCTCAGGAAGCTTTGTGATATTCAGCCTAAACTTCCCTTTCTTTTATCTCGTTCTATAACTTAATACTCCTGTGCCACGACACAGCCCAGCTTCCTGCTTAGTCTTTATACCCTCCTGTTGAATGTGGAGCTGCTATCAAGCCCTCCCAGACAAGGACAAACTCCACAGTGGTCTAGCCAGGATATACATATTTAGTTCTCAATCTGACCACTAAAATCAGTAAGTCGGTACCTCTTTTCAGGCCGTAATTGAAGACACAAGCCTGAGTTGGAATTGTGTTTATAGCCAGGGCAATCTCTGGACTCAAGGACCTGAAAACTTAGCCCTAATCGCTTCCAAAATGATTGCATATGAAAATAACAACTTAGTAGCAAAACCATGAAGAAGAAATCATTCTTCTTATCGCTTTTAGCGGGATGATTGGGGTTTGCTGTGCTGGTATCGTGGGTTTGCTGCTGGAAGGCTAGAGCAAAGCTCTGTGCTTCCCTTGCAGGAGCTGCAAGGACAGATCAATGTTGTCTTAGTTTCGCTATTATTAAGACATACACTAACCCAGAGGGTTTTTTAAAACATCAGCGTTACTCCTCATAGTCCCTTTTTGGAAAGAAAGCACGGGTGCCTTTTTGCCTGTGACGCTGCCTGCACTTGAGCATTGCTTAAGCAAAGTACAAATATTCCGGGACTTGACAGTGGGCAATTTTCAACAAGCCAGACTACAAAAACAGCCTTCATTTCAGTGCTCCGTGTGAAGTACTGGTTCTTCCATCCCTTTTTTTTGGGTAAGATCACAAAATCTGTTAGCTTGCATTTCATGAAGATGTTTGAAGAGCATGTATTTACTTAAAAGATCATAAATGTCCTCAAGTTTAAAAAATCTTCACAGAAGTGATTAACATTTTGCTGAGACAGTTGTGGAGCAGCAGATTTTAAATGGTCCGTGCGGTACAGGAATTTACAACCTGGTTTTGAAGAGCAGGGAGGAAGTTCTCCTTTCCACCTGTCTGAAGAGAAGGCATTCATGCCGGGGAGGAGGTTCAGGGTGTTGGGGGGGGTCATGAGTTCTCGCAATGGTTTCCGCAGGCAGAGGGATGGCATTTATACGGCTTAGTCATCTCAGGCTCTGAGAAGTAGGAGAGGAAACTGCAGGTGACTGGAAAGGAGCAGATTCAAAGCGAGAGCCTGTAATGCTGCGCCGGGGGGAGGGTGAGAGGTTTTTGGGTGCAGCACCGGCTCCTGCCAGAGCGAGCTGCAGTTTTCCCTCTGCAGAAGCAGTGGTTGGTGACTTCTGCAGCAGCGCTGGAGCTGCTCGTGCACAGATTACACCTGCCCGGGCGATTGAAACTGGTGCTGGAGCTTGTTCTGCTTTTCTGCTCGTCCGTCCTTCCTAAATAACTGCTGCTAATGCTGGCCGAGAGCTCTGAGTTTCACAGCTGCTCTGAAGCATGTGGAGAAAGAGTACCTACCATGACATTTTGTGGCCTAATTCTTGTAGCAGCGCTCCTGTGGAAGCTGTGAGCGCTCGCTGCTTGCATGCAGTGATCTGGTTTTCCCCTTTGTACTTTATCTGTGACTGCACTGACCAGAAATGCAGGAAGGATGAGGACGGAGCAGACTTTGCAGTGCAAGTTCTGATTTATTTACTACCCTCAACCCATAACAGCCCTTAAGCACCTCGACTAAAGCCCAGCTTTGGATCCTGGTTTAAATTATATGGTGGAGCGTTTATTATGTATCTGGCCATCTGTATTGTACCGTGGACTAATACACGAGCCCAGTGGTGGCTCCAGACCTTCAAGAGGGTAGCCAGATCCCTCCAGGGAACCTGCTGCTCGGCCTCCTGCAGGCAGGCTGGCGCGGTCGCTGCTGCAGCTGGTTCTCCCGTGCACCACGAATGCGTCTGCAGCTCCCACACATGCAAGCCAAGGAGAAACCTGAAAGTGCATCTGGCTTTGCATTTCAAACCCGGTGCCTTGCTGGTTGTGTTGCAGCCTCTGGGTGATGGCTCCAGGTAACAACCGATGTATGTCCCTTTGCACTCTGCTCTTTTTTTTTCTTTTCTTTTCTTTTCTTTTTTTTTTTTTTTTTTAAATGTATGGTCTAAAAATAAGGTTGGAATGTGCTGCAGTGACTCAGGGTACATGATCTGCAGCACCAGCGTGGTGATTGTGTGTAATTGCTGTGGCAGTCCTGCCAGAGGTCTCCACCCAGCTGGCACCAAAGCTGCTGCAGATAAATTGGAGAGAAGGGGGAGTTTAAAGCCAGACCTAACACGATAGCGTGAGTTAACTGTGTGGGGGTTTCAGGCTACCCTGGAAACAAGGTCTCTTGAATGTTCTGCAGCTTAGCTGGCAGGTGTGTCCTGCAGGATTTCACGCCCTCTCAGCCAGGTAATCGTTTCCTTTAATGGGAAGGAAATGGAGCTACACGTCTCTAGGGATGCTCTCTCCTTCCAAAATCCTTGGCCGGTTTGAAATTAGAGCAGTTCAAGAGACAAAATACTTCAGCAATTAATGAATCTTCTGGTAAAGACAGAACTGCATCAGGGAGACGTGCCCCATCTCCTACATCTGTACGACACGCTGGTTGCTGTTAACGTGTGACACGGATATCCAGGAAGAGTGGCAAGCGGCCGCGCCATCCTTCTCTTCAAATGGCCGTGCTGCTTATAAAGCCTCCTCCGAAATTTGGGCAGAAACTCGTTAGGGCACCAGGGCCGTACTCCGTGTCACCGTGCACCTCAGCTGGGTGGCTGCTGAGCCCACCGCCGCGCTGCTCTGCGTGGCTTCATGCTGCAAGCCCCATTTTTGCTGGAGACATACCTTGCCATAGGAGTGCTCCCTTCCCTTGAGGAAACCCCAGCGACGCCGCTCGGAGCTCAGGGGTTTCTGTGCCGCAACGCAAATAGAAAAGCGAACATGTTTCCTTCCAACCCAGGTTATGCAAAAAGCA